CGTGTTAGAACCGGGACTAAAGGGGGGGGGGACATTAGTAACGACCCTTTAGTCCCGGTTCAAGAACCGGGACTAAAGGCCCTTACGAACCGGGACAAATGCCCCCTTTTCTACTAGTGCTTATGGTCCAAGAGGGGAAACGCACTAGCCACCAGAGGCTGGTGCGCCCCTCATATGGGCCGAACCAGGGGGAGAAGGAAAGAGGGGGAGGGAAAGGAAAGGGGGGGGGGGATTCGGGCTCCCCCTTTCCTTTCTCCCCCTCCTCTTTCGTCCCCCCTCCGGCTAATATGGAAAGGGGGGAGGCCAAGGGGGAACCCAAGTAGGATTCGGTCCTACTTGGGGCGCCTCCTGGCCTCTTACCTCCCCCTCCCACCTATATATATGTAGGGGGGCACCCCTAGCACACCCCACACAATTGCTTAGTCGTGTGCGGCGCCCCCCTCCACCATTTACAAGCACGGTCATATTTTCGTAGTGCTTAGGCGAAGCCCTGCGAGGATCACTTCACCATCACCGTCACCATGCCGCTGACATAACTCATCTACTACCTCGACGTCTTGCTGCATCAAGAAGGCGAGGAATGTCACCGAGCTGAACGTGTGCAGAACTCGGAGGTGTCGTATGTTTGATACTTGATCGATCGGAGCTAGAAGAAGTTCGACTACATCAACTGCGTTGTTAAACGCTTCCGGTTACGGTCTACGAGGGTACGTAGACACACTCTTCCCTCGTTGCTATGCATCTCCATAGATAGATCATTGCGTGTGCGTAGAATTTTTTTTGTTTTTCATGCAACGTTTCCCAACAACCATGAGCCCGGTAAAATAGAAAATCTGTCAAGGTCAAACCTTAGCCTTCCACATAGTCCACTTGAGCTAAATGTTTACGATCTTAAGTTGGGCCACCTTTCCTAATTGCTTTGGCTCGATAAAGACTAGTAGATTGCTCCCCCATACTCCACTATGGGCGAGCCTCTGTTTAGCACATCTTCACATGTCCATTATCACGAGAATGACGGCAAGCTTCAAGCATGTGATCTATTTGTGATACTCCACTTAAACTTGCACAACACAACCTTGATGGCGGTCATTGGGGCAGGTGGAGACAGTAGAGTGGGCTAATTTGCGGGCTGTCCCCCTCCCCACCGAGGCTTGCGGAATATCCATACACCATCTCCTGGCATCTAGCCCCTTCGGGCAGTTTCTCTGTCGGCTCAGCATACCATGCTCTATGTTGTTGGCAGACTATTCCTTGGGCATCTCTGCTATGGAACGTGCCCTTGCCCTTCAAGATCAAAATTTTGTTTGGGAGTCGTTGAGAGATGGCCTCCCACCTGGAACAAAGGTGATCAAGAGACACGACCTGGGGAATGGGTTGTTCTCTCTTTGTGTCCCACATCCTCTTTTCTTGCATGACGGAAACGTTTATTTGGAATTTTGTCTGTGAGACTCTAGGGACTGATTGGGAGGCCCTGGACCTGGCTGAGTTCATTCACACCAAAGACAACCAAGCTGGTAGGAGGAGACGTCTCTTCTGGCTTGTGTTTGCGGCGTTAACTTGGACTTTGTGGACGACGCGTAATAAGCTGGTAATTGAGAAGGTCTTTCATTGACGGGCCTCTGACAAAAGTTTTAAATTTCTGATATTTTTGCAGCACTGACACCCGATGTCTAGGCAGCGTGACAGCGAGCATCTGAGACTTATGATGAACGCGATGCATGATGCTGCTCGCCGACTTACCTCCCGGCAGGTCCCCTGAGTCTTCGGCTACTCAGTGGTCTTTTTTCTCTATTTCTCCTATATGCTTTCCTTGGCGGGTTTGTGCTGATACCCCAGCAGAATATTCTATTTTGTTGCACTTGAAACTCTTGTATGACGTGGTGGTGGTTTCGTACACGAGGTGAAATCTATTTCGACGAGGAAGAGGTGAACTCTACGTATATTTGTTCCTGCCTTTCTTAATTAGTTTTTTCTATTATCTATAGGCACATTATTGATCGATCCATCACCTAATCATGCATGTATCTGTGGTTGTTGGGCGGCCCTGTCATATAAGTAGTACAACAAACAAGTGGCTGTAGAAAACAGGTGCCGATTAACAAAGCAATCTCGTTGCGCTACGCGGGCTCTGGTGCTCGTTCGCTCCATTTCTTAATTATACATCAAGTAATCATACTCTATGATTTGATGAGTTGTTTCATTCACATCATCGGACTGGCTACCATGAAACAAAAGGTCCTCTTTCCAGAGAGATTCGAACGGGAACTCTTATATGTGTCCTCCCACACCAGGAGTTAGTCTACGTATTGCTTATTGGTAAGTTAATACGTTGCTAACAACCCAAGCTGGATGACCTTAGACTCGTCATAAAATAACTCAACCAATAAGATAGATCGATTAATTGGTAGTATGTAGGAGGGGTCACATCAGTGTGACTCATCGTTTTTATGATTGACCTGTTGGTGGCCTGCGTGCCATGGTTGTTGGCCGTGACTCTATTTCCGTTGCTCTGGTCGTGTCGTGTGGTTGTTTATCTTGTCGCACTCTGTTTTGTGGTTTTATTTATAAAGTTGGCGTATATCTTTCCTATAAAAAATGTCTTCGGGCTCATTCGGTTTGAAGGAAATTAAAACGTAGGAACTAGGAGTAGTATAGGAATTTGATGAGATGGCAAAGGAATTGACTTGTCTCGTTCATACGTGCAAAATGAACTTTGAGTGGGTGTGTAGCATTTCACTCCTCAAAAAACACAAGAAATGAGTAGTATTCCTACGAAATTTCTAGTACGCATTTCCTACAAACCGAATGCATATACAGAAAATTTTCCTTCGCAATCCTTGTTCCTTTGTTTTTCCTACGAGAATCTTCCAAACCGGTTGAGGCCTTACATTAGTTTAGAAGCGGAAATTCGTTGGTGCTCCCGGGAGCGTGCACTCCTGCACGCGGAAAATATATTTTAAAGTATGAAAAAGTTTCAATCAAAGTTTTGGTGCATACATCTTAATATTATATTTGTGCACGTCAAGTTTCGAAGAAAACCGACATTTTTTATGGCTTGGGTAAAAAAGACAAAATGATGTCTTGAAAAGCATTCATATTTTGTCTTTTTCACACGCGAGACATAAATTGTCGGTTTTTCGTGACACGACTTTGTGAGCATGTACAATATCAAGATGTACGCGTCGAGTTTTTGTTTGGAATTTTTTAGCATTTCAAAATATGTTTAAAATATATTTTAAAAATCAGGAGCACGTACTCCCATGTGCTAAAACGCCACTCTCTTTACAAAGGGAGTACTATCAAATTTTGTGTGGAGAAAGTATACATCCAATTAATGGAGTACTTCGTAGACAGCATGGATGCAATATGCATGGCACCAAGAAACAATTGTTTTGCCGGTTTATCGAATCTCTCATGCAGTACTTTGTTGAGACTTAAGACGTACCAGTATCTGATCCCACTAACATACAATCGCAGATCTAGAGAGAATTTGCATGGGCTAATGTCGACATTGTGTCCTGGGTGCTCTTCCTGACAACCGCACTATAATTTTGAACACATCCAGAGGTTGAGTGCACGGATTAATTTAGTGAAACTTACAATTTGCGCATATGCCTAGCCAGTACAAACCGCACGCGCCCTCGTCCGTGTCAAACTTTGCCTCTCCATTAGTCTAATCAACGTCATAGAAGGGAAAAACCATCTACTACCTCACTGGCATCATCCTAGCCGGCCAGCTAGTATATTAGGTACAGGCAACAAGCTAGCAAGACATCTCAAGAGCCCCAGAAAAAACATACGGAAAGAAACAAAGTAAGCTCGGGAGGGAGGGCATGGCCATCGAGTTTGGCACGGGGGCGATGCGCTCCCTCATCCCCAAGCTGGGCGAGCTGCTCCTCAAGGAGTACAACCTGAAAGACACTGTGAAGAAGGGAATTAAGGACCTCAAAGCCGAGCTCGAGACGATGCATGCTGCTCTTGAGAAGGTCTCCAATATGCCGCTGGACCAGCTTGACTCACAAGTCATGATCTGGGCAAACGAAGTAAGGGAGTTGTCCTTCGCCATCGAGGACAGCCTCGACTCATCCATGGTGCGAATCGACAGTCTTGAGCCGACCAAGCCACGAACCTTCAAGGGCTTCATCAAGAAGACCCGCAACAAGGTTAGCAAGTTCAAGATTCGCCATAAACTAGCCGAGGACATCAAAGAGGTCAAGATTCAAGTTAGGGAGGTGAAGGAACGGCATGAAAGGTACAAGATCAGTGATGTTGTGGCTAATCCCACCACAACAACGGTTGACCCTCGTCTGTTGGCCATGTACACAAAGATGCCTGACCTTGTTGGCATTGAAAAGGCGATTGATGAGCTAACAAACAAGTTGTCTGAGGGTGATGATCCGTCCGGGAGAACACTCAAGACAGTCTCCATTGTTGGGTTCGGAGGACTGGGCAAAACAACTCTTGCTAAAGCAGTGCATGACAAGATGAGGAAGTCATTTGATTGTGGTGCTTTTGTTTCGGTGGGTCGAAATCCTGACATAAAGAAAATTCTCAAGGACATCCTTCTTGCACTTGACAGGCAAATGTATATGGATGCATCAACAATGGATGAAATGCAACTCATCAACCAGCTACGGGAATTCCTCGCAGACAAGAGGTAATCATTACTCCCACCTCTAAGCTAAACCAGTCTATGCCTTCCTCATGTTGCTTTGTATGCTGTGGTTAGTCTCTTTTGCAAACTGTCCCAAATTACGAAGGCGTATTTAGGCTTTGGTCAAACAAAGAAGAAATATGATGTACTCCCTCCGCCCCGAATTAATTGTCTTAGATTTGTCTAGATACAGATGTAATTACTTTTTTTTTGAAAGGTCCACTTTAGTCGATTCTCAAAAGCTAGGTGTGCACATGATCCGTTTTCTTTGAGCATAGTTAAATCCAACTTAAATGCTCTGGAAATTACTTGCATTTTCTTGTTCCTAGCTAACTCTTAATTTTCCTGTCTCTTTTTTTTTGCCTTTATCATTAAGTGCTTTGTAAAGCAGGTTTTATATGATTGGCAGCCTTTTTTTTAATCTTCATGGTGGGCATGCTTCGCATTTAGACAGATAGTACTACTCTGGATAGTTTTACTAATTTAACCATATATAATCCTTCTCGTTCAAATAGGTACTTGATTATTATTGATGACATATGGGACATACCAACATGGGAACTGATTAATTGTGCAATGGTGGATAGTTGCTCTGGAAATAGAATAATCATAACTACTCGTATTTCTTGAGTTGCTGAAAAAGTTGGTGGTGCTTACAGCATGAAACCACTTTCTGGTGAGAACTCTAAAAGATTATTCTTTTCTAGAACATTTGGTGACGATCAAAGCGTCCTTCTTGATAAACAATATGATGAAATGTCCAAGAAAATTTTATGGAGATGTGGTGGTGTGCCATTATCTATCACTACAATAGCTAGCCTGCTTGCTGGGAAACGAAGGGAGGCCTGGTCCGAGGTATATGAATCTATTGGTTTTGGGCATGAAAAGAATGAAGCTGTTGAGAACACGAGAAAAATTATGTCCTTTAGCTATTATGATCTGCCCTCTTGTCTAAAGACATGTTTGTTGCACTTGAGAATTTTTCCTGAAGATACCACCTTCGGGAAAAAAACATTAATATGGATGTGGATTGCAGAGGGTTTTATCATTGATAAACCAGGGACACAATTATTTGAGTTGGGGGAGAGCTACTTGAATGAGCTTGTAAACAGAAACATGATCCAACAGGTAGAGCCACGTCATATGGGAAGCCTATCTGGTTGCAGTGTTCATGATATGGTGTATGATTTAATATGCTCCTTGTCAAGTCAAGTGAACTTCATCACAATATATGATAAGCACCAACAGGCAGTCACATTTTCGCGTGTCCGTAGATTAGCCATTCACAGAGGAAGTATGGAGCAGATTAACCCTGGCATGGAGATGGGACATGTGAAGTCATTCAATGCTGTGGAGTGGCGAAACATCAGGATGCCCTCCCTTCTGAGCTTCAGAGCATTACGTGTACTGGTGTTTTTCAAATGTGGTTTTTCTACGGGAAGTTGTGATCTGAAGCATGTTAGAAAGTTGGTTCATCTGAGGTACCTTGGGCTAGTGGACACACCTGCTGTGGAGCTACCGAAAGACATAGGACATGACCTCAACTTCCTGCAAACGCTGGACGTCAGGGGAAGTGGCATAAAAGAATTGCCGCCAACCATCGGTGAGCTAACTAAACTGATGTGCTTGCGTGCTAGCAAGGGTACAAGATTTACGTCCGAGATAGGGAAGCTCACCTCCCTCGTTGAGCTGGACCTGTCCTCGGCTGACAAGTCCGCACACTTGTTCACACAGCTGGGTAATCTGAGGGAGGTGAGGACGCTCAATATATGGTTTGAACCGATAGACGAGAGCTGCAGGCACAAGGATCTGGTGGGTTCATTGGGCAGCATGCGCAGGCTCCAGCAGCTGAGGGTCGGGTTTCACTCAGCGAAGGAAATCCTTGTCGACGGCTGGGAAGAGTGGACGCCCCCTTCGCTGCTCCGTGAGCTGGGGTTGTATCACATACTTTTACCCAGGCGGCCGTTGTGGCTGGACTCCTCGTGTGTTCCGCTCCTCTCCACCCTCAGGTTGGAACTGGAGGTGGTTTCGGAACAGGATATGCAAATCCTCGGGACGCTCCCTTCCCTCCGCCACCTCTACCTCCAGATATACAAGATGAAGGTGTTTTCGTATACTGTTGGTAGCGACGAGTTTCAGAAACTGAGGCATCTTAAAATCACTGTGGAGATCATGACATGTGGAGAGGGAGTCCTACCAATGCTTGAGGAACTGAGATGTTGTGCCACCGTGAGAGGAAAGGGCGGTTTTGGTCTGATGCCAGGAAACATGCCCTGTCTTCAGCATGTCACCTATGAGCTTAACTGCCAGCATAGCACTGCTGACGAAGTGGAAGAGGCAGAAATAGCCATGAGGTACATGGCCCAAATCCACCCCAACCACCCCACGCTGGAAATAGAAAGAATCAATGAGGATTATGCCGGACCTGCGGAGGTTTCAGCTCCCCACAAGGAGGTATGTAATGTGCTATACGCGGACTGGATACATGCATACATATCATACAATAGTGCTACTTTAAATCGATCGTTGCAACTTTATTTTGTGTAACTTCCCATTCATTCATATGCATGTATGCTACTCCCTCCGCTCCTAAATATAAGTCTTTTGAGGAATTCCACTACGAATTACATACGGATGTATATAGACACATTCTAGAATGTAGATTCAGTCATTTTGCTCCGTTTGTAGTCTATATTGAAATCTCTAAAAAGACTTATATTTAAGAAGAGGGAGTACTACTTAGGCTGGTTATAGTGGGATGTAAATTAGACTGTACTGATGCTCAAAAAAAAACATTGATATGTTACTAGTCCAAAACATAATATATGTGTGATATCATGCAAGGTTGATGAAGTGTGTAGACACATTTTTTAATGTAAATCATCTTGTCTCGTAGTGCATTATGTTATCGTAACAGAGACATCTCCCTTTTTCTTTATTAACTACTTTTCACGTAAGCAAATTTATCTTGAGATGCATTATGCTACTAGCTAGGTTACCCACACTACGACCAGTCTTAGATCATGGCTAATAGCAGCATCTCCAACAGTGTGCCGATACTTATTTTGAGGTCACTCTCTCTCCTGTTTAATCTCTTTTCTTCTATTTTATTCTTTCATTTAATGGACCCACTTGTCATACTCTTTCTCCATCAACACGGTACCCGTGTCTAGATCGTTTCTTGTACGGGGAAATGGTTTTCATGTACTCAACATTTTACTCCTCCACGTCAGCCAAGAAAGGACAAGCTAACAGTTGACGGAGATGCCATATAGCCAACTGCTGATTATAGGATGTTGTCATGTCATTTATAGTCAATTCGATAATTAACATGTATATTAGTTAGCTAAAAAGAAATACTATTTTATTAGCACATGGCCTCCCTAACACCTTCACAAAAAAAATTGGTGCCTGTCCTACAACTAGCTCTTATTAACCGACTGCCCTCCTTTGTTCTTTATGTTTTTCTCTTTCTTCGAACTCAGCAAATATATAATATTAAATTTCTTATAGCCCGCTTACATCATCTTACTAGCTTTTATGCTAATCTAATCGACTAATCCAGCCGGTGACTGGAAGTGCTGAGGCGGACAAAAAGACATCTGATACAACAAACAAAGAGGAGGAGGCGGTGACGAGCCTACCTTAATTGAATCATTTTGATTTTCTCACCTGCCAGCTTAAATACTATGAAGGTACTAGGTTCATGTACACCACTCTCTGCTCCAAATTTTTATCGACATTCACATGTGTCTGTTTTTCCATATTACTTCGATCCCACTAGGAATATGGCACACTAATTAGTTTTCAACAAATTATGCAGTAAATACTTTTGTTCTTTCTCTACATCAAGCTTAATTAACAATTTCAAAAGATTTGTCACAAAAAATGGGCATCCCAAAGGACATGTTGCAACTTTGTGCCTTGGAATCATTTTTTACTCCCAAATTTCTTTTACCCGTGGGTTAATGAGTCCTATGTGAGAGCCGAGAAGAGCATATAGGACTCGAAATGTGCGAGCCGTTAGGTGTACGGTTGGGCGACTGCGTGGGCGACTGCGTGCCTGCGCCGGAGCGGGGGCCGGCCATGGCGGTGACGGAGGATTGGTCCGTGGTCCGTCGCGGCGCGGGCTCTTCCCAGGTGAGCGGCGTGGAGGGACCGCCGGCTCACCGCCGGCGGGGGTTGGTGCCTGCCACAACCGCTTCTGGGCGTTGGCGGAGGAGGATGAGGGCGACGATGCGGAGGTGGAGCGCTATCTGCGCGCGGTGCCGGACGGGCCATCGATCAGAGACATTGTGGCCTTCGCGGCGACGGAGAGAGAGGCGGGCTCGAGGCGCGGGAGGCGCTTTGTGCCGGGCGGTCGTGGCTTCAGGGCCATGGCCTCGCGCATCTGGCAGCTGTCACTGTCGGTGCGTGCGGGCTCGGGAGCTGGAGCAGCGTCGGGGGCGGCGCGGCTAATCAGGTCCAAGGCTACAACGTGCCTTCTGGAGGACAGGCCGGCACAGTCCAGGGAGGACTATCCGCGCCTGTCGGCTCCACCTGCCTCGGCGGCGGAGGCGTCGTGTGGAAGGGAGGAGAGGCGCTCCTCTTCGGGGCCTAGGGTTGGGCCAATGGGCCGGTCTCGGCTGATAGGCCTGGGTCATCTACGGGTACGGGGCTGGCCAAGGGTGGGGGACCTGGGCCGGTTGGCCTGTCTGGATCGTTTTCTGGCCTGCAGGTGGGGCAGGGTCAGGAGACTGGCCTGGACTCGCGGCCCCTTGCGCCTCCTCGGCCCATGGTGGCTCGGCCCGACCCACGACCGTCCGCGGGCTATAAATGGATGCGGCGGGGCTGCCTGGATCCCCATTTAGGGTTTCTAGCCACCACTCGCGAGGTACGGCGCCTCAGTCACTCCGCACGCATCCTCAAGATCTGCCCTCCCCCTCCCCCCTTCTCAAATCTTTCGCGGCGGTGGTGATGGGCGACCGACGCGCCGACAAGCAGCCGATGGAGATCTCTGATCCGGAGGCGGAGATGCGCAGGGAGCGCGAGCTGCGTGACAAGGCGAAATGCGTGATGCGCGAGCGCTCAGGAGGGCGTGAGGCCAGAGATGAGCGCGGTGGTGCTCGCGACTATGCCGGGCGCGAGGGGGATTGGGGTCCTCCTACCCCGTGGTGGATCCAGCAGCAAGAGCGCAAGAAGAAGAAGATGAAGAAAATATGCCCTAGAGACAATAATAAAGTTATTGTTTATTTCCTTATATCATGATAAATGTTTATTATTCATGCTAGAATTGTATTAACCGGAAACATGATACATGTGTGAATACATAGACAAACATATAGTCACTAGTATGCCTCTACTTGACTAGCTCATTAATCAAAGATGGTTATGTTTCCTAACCATAGACATGTGTTGTCATTTGATTAATGGGATCACATCATTAGGAGAATGATGTGATTGACATGACCCATTCCGTTAGCATAGCACTTGATCGTTTAGTATATTGCTATTCCTTTCTTCATGACTTATACATGTTCCTGTAACTATGAGATTATGCAACTCCCGTTTACCGGAGGAACACTTTGGGTGCTACCAAACGTCACAACGTAACTGGGTGATTATAAAGGAGTACTACAGGTGTCTCCAAAGGTACATGTTGGGTTGGCGTATTTCGAGATTAGGTTTTGTCACTCCGATTGTCGGAGAGGTATCTCTGGGCCCTCTCTGGGCCCTCTCGGTAATGCACATCACTATATCTAATAAAGATCGATATATTGGACGACTATATTTGGAGTTCGGAAAGGTTCCGAGTGATTCGGGTATTTTTCGGAGTACCGGAGAGTTACGGGAATTCGCCGGGGAGTATATGGGCCTTATTGGGCCATACGGGAATAGAGGAGAGAGGCCGAAAGGAAGGAGGGGCGCAGCCCCCCTCTGGTCCGAATTGGACAAGGGGTGCGACCCCCTTTTCCTTCCTCCACTCCCCCTCTTTCCTCCCTTCTCCTACTCCAACAAGGAAGGAGGGAGTCCTACTCCCGGTGGGAGTAGGACTCCCTTTGGCGCGCCCCTCCTAGGCCGGCCGCCCCCTCCCCCTTGCTCCTTTATATACGGGGGCAGGGGGCACCTCTAGGCAGAACAACAATTGATCCTTTGGATCTCTTATCCGTGTGCGGTGCCCCCCTCCACGATAATCCACCTCGATAATATCGTAGCGGTGCTTAGGCGAAGCCCTGCGTTGGTAGAACATCAAGATTGTCACCACGCCGTCGTGCTGACGGAACTCTCCTTCGACACTCGGCTGGATCGGAGTTCGACGGACGTCATCGAGTTGAACATGTGCTAGAACTCAGAGGTGCCATAGTTTTGGTGCTTGATTGGTTGGGCCGTGAAGACATATGACTACATCAACCGCGTTGTTATAATGCTTCCGCTTACGGTCTACGAGGGTACGTGGACATTACTCTCCCCTCTCGTTGCTATGGATCACCATGATCTTGCGTGTGCGTAGGATTTTTTTTTGAAATTACTACGTTCCCCAACAGAAGAAGGTCCTCCAGTGCCGGCGCGAGCTTGAGAGGAAGCATGAGGCGATCCATACCCTGGTGGGGGCCATGGGGATCCGTTGGACAAGCAGCAGCGTGCGCCCGCAGATCCACTGGCGGTGGCGTTGCCCTCCTCGTCCAAGGGAACGGCGGAGGAGGCCATTCCGGTGGAGGAGGCACCGGACGTTGAGTGCTTGAAGTGCGGGCGCCTTGGTCACTATCAATCTAAGTGCAAGTTCTTACCCCTATGTGTTCTCTGCAAGGAAGAAGGGCACGCGTCCGCCCATTGCCCGACGAGGGGCCATCAACCGCGGCTTCAAATCATGGGCAGTGCTATCTATGGGGAGGGCTTTTTCTGCCTCGAGTTCAAAGACGAGGATGAGGCCGAAGCCCCCATCGATGCTCGCATCAAGAACGCGGCCATCCTCTCCGCGGAGCCGGGGAAGCTGAACCTCCGCATCCTCAAGCAAGAGCTGAAGCACATGGTAACGTGCGACTGGGATTGGGAGGTCACTCAAGTGGGAGATGATGATTTCGTGGTGGTCTTTCCGTCGGCCGATCTGTTACACATGGCGAAATCGAGCGGGAAGCATTTTCTGTCTATCAATGACGTCACTACACGTGTGCGTCACATGCTACATGAGGAGATCCAACCGATGGTGATGCCTGGGACTTGAGTTCGGATCTATGGCATCCCAAAGAAGCACCGGTGTGAGGACCACATCAGGGAGGGGTTCCGGATGCTGGGTCGGCTAACCGTGGTCGATGAGCTGTCGCTGATCAGGTTGGGACCTGTTCGGATGAAGCTGGCTTGCAAGGCCCCAGAGAAGCTTAACGGAGTCGTCGAGGTGTGGTTCAACCACGAGGGTTACCAGATCAAGGCCAAATGTGAGACCCTGCCCAAGCGGGGCGATGAGCGGGCACTGCACAGCTCTGGCCCCTCCAATCCCCCCCCTAAGATGCGGATCCGTCAAAGGATGCATGGTTTTCGGGCAACTCCAAGTAGGGCAGGGCCGAACCAGA